AAAAATTCTACATTCATTAGTAGAATGAGAAGTAGCATTATGGAACTTGCAGAACTTCTTATTCTTCAACTAATCAGGGGACAACATAACATGATTATTAGGCAACTTGATCTATCCCTTCTCAAGCAAGAAATCAAAGAGCTTGTCTGATTTTGTGACCTCAAAGTCATAGCTCTCCTTGACTCCTCTTCCCTAAGGGTTTGGCACCATTACTATCTTTTTGCCCCAATTCCATTCAGCCATAGCAACCTCTTCTTCTTCATCTTCATAGCCGTCATCGACTAAGTATGGATTATAAGCTTCGGCCACTGTGGTATTCTTCTGGAATCGGGTATCTCTATGTATACTCTGGAATTGGCTATTGAGCGCTGCCACTCGTTAAGCCAATTGACCCAAGTTGTCAAATTCTTGTCCCAGCAGTTTTTCTTTCCACATTGGCAGCATTCCTTGAATGGCTAAAGCGGCTAGCTGATCATCAGCCAAGTTTAATGAGAAGCATAAGTTCCTAGTCTCTTGAAACCTCTGTAGAAACTCAGTGCCCGATTCATTAGTCTTCTGCCTTATAGTTGTTAGATCAGTAATCTTCTTTTCTCTAGTCCCAGTATAAAAATATGTATGAAATTTCTTTTCCATATCAGCCCAATTGGCAATGGAGTTGATCGGCAGTGATAAAAACCAAGTGAAGGCTGGCCCTGACAGGGACAAGGAGAAGAAACAAACTCGATGGGCCTCCTCAACTAATGCCTTGCCCAATTGTGTAAGATACCGACTGACATGTTCTATTGTGCTTGTACTGTCTTGGCCAGTGAACTTAGCAAACTCTGGAAGCCTATAATTTGCAGGAAGAGCGACCAAATCATACAATTCTGGATATGGGTGTTTGTACGAAAAGGTCAGCCCTTTTGGCTTCAGACCGAACTGATCCTTCATCATCTCGGTCACCTTTAGCAACAACTCGTCAGCATGTGAATTTGGATTTCTCTACACCTGCTGAACCATCTGTGAATTGAAATCCCATGTGCCTTGATACCCTGGATTTAGAATCATGTGAAGGGTGTTTTAATCTATGCCATAATGATACCCTTGTGGAATCTCTATCTGCTGGGTCCTTTATTGGTTTGCTGCTAGAAGTCTCTGATTATAGACATGAGGATGTATATCTCTATGGATCCTTTGAATTGATAGTGCTATTTTTTGAGCCAACGACGGTATGTGGCCCGATGTGCCAAAATTAATCACCTGGTTCTGACCTTGCCTCGCCGGCTGTTGCACATGCTGCACTGACGATCTAGGATTATACTATATCTGATTCGCAGTAGTACATTGAGCTTGTTCAGATAAACTCTGAACTACTTGGACATCATCATTACCAGCTGGTGTTGCTTCTTGATGCATGGTACCAACTTGATTAGTCCCTTGGGTTGACGGATGTGGAATGTTGTAATAAGACGGCCCAACCTGACCAACTAGAAACCCGTGAAACACCACTTTCATGGCGTTGTGGAATGTGTCCAAGAAAGCTTCATTATGGCTTGATATGGCATCACGAATAGATTTGTTTATAGCTTTTGTGAAGAAACGTATGTCTTTAGCTTCATCTGCATCAGTCTGCCCATGCAATAGAACTCTTGGTAGTGGATATTTCTGAACAATTGTGTTTTCACGTGTTTTGGTGTAGGACAACAAACACTTGTTCTGAAATTTTTCTATAGCTTTGCTGATGACACCTTTATCTCCATCAGGTAGGTCTTCGTAATGTACCATAAGGATGTCGTTGTTGTTGTAAACCGCCATGACAATTGTGGGGTCCCACCAGGCGTGCCAGAACGTGTGTCGGCACAAAATTTCGTCCTGTGCCGAGGGCACACGAGCAAGCCGGAAGGGTCTGCTCGATGGAGCTATAGATCCGCCTAGCTTCAATGCAGGGGTGGTTGATCCTGCATACTCCTCCTAAGACGTGCCAATCAATTTGACCCTGCAATTGACAAGGAGAGAAAGCTAATCAATAATTATGGTGGAACATGCCGGTGTTGCCAGACAATCCTGAATGTGCGGCTCTGAGAGCCGATGTGGAAGGAAATCGACTAAATAGTCGATTCCAGCATACTCATAAGAATAAATCATTTAAAGCTCATGGGGTTGTGGAAGGAAAATTAGTTATCACTCAGGATGAATATCGTTATTCAGACAAATATTAGTCAATGGCAATAGGATGTCAAGAATAATCAGTTTATGCTAAGCCAATGACTGCAAGTAACCGAATCCCTTTTTATATAAAAGAAGCAGCTCATCATCATTTAACCTTTTAATAAAGATAAATCCAATGAACATATTAGATCTCATCTATCGTTATGACCAGTGGGGCATGAGGCAGAATCATGCAGGCCGTAGAAACAGCGATAAATTTGATGACCCTAACTTATTACTAATATCAGTGGGGCATGAGGCAGAATCATGAAGGCCGTAATACAATAATAAGATCATGGGGCTAACACATCTTTCAACCTATCTTTATTTCAATGGTCTAGTGATGTGAACTGCATATGTGAAAGCACTCGATATCGGCTAAATAGCCGATTCAGGCATAGCGCACAGTTAAGGTCATGCCCTATCAGGAACAGATCTACCAAATGACGATCCCCACTCCACGGTGCTAACAGTGGGGTGTGAGGCAAAATCACACAGGCCATGATAACGGGCCATGGAACAGTTTTCGTTGGACAATAGATCTATTCAAGACCAGACATGCCTTAACCGCACACTATGCACGATCAAGATTGACATAAAATAGCCGATAAAACATAACTCATCATTTAAGATGCAGATTAGATCAGTTTAGATTAACAAACGATGGGTTAAACAGGATATAAGGCCGATTTAAATCAATCCCAATCAGGCGAAGTGATATTGCTGTAATTAAATAAATAATGAAAGCAATATGCAATATCGGTAACTTAATGAATCTATTCGAAGGACGCCACCCTTAGATAGAGCCGATAACTTGACCTTAATCTAGTTCGAGCAGTGGAGGTCGATCGGATCGATGCAGCCGTACTTGAACTAAACAAGAGTCAATAACTAGCTTATACCAGAGTCGCAGTGGAGGTCGACCGGATCGATGCAGCCGTACGAACAGAAGTATAAGTCATGATGGTACTTACAGACAAGCCGGAGGTCGGCCGGACTGATGCAGCCCTTCTCGCTAAAAAACTCACCGAGATCTACTCTACTCCTCCTAAGGGGTGGCCAGAGCCAAAAAAAAGTAAGGAACTTGTATTTGATTGATTGTGTGTCCTCTTACAATGGTCGGGGTCCAATATTTATACCCAGAGCCTAAACATGAATCCTACTCGAACATGACTCATTACAATCTTCGGCATAGAAGAAAACATTCCTAATTTAAGATAACTTGCACCCTAATGTTTCCCTTTTGTAGAGTCTGATATGTAGTTTCCTGGCGCCAACCATAGTTCATCATCGCTATCTGCTGACGTCATCCAAAGAGATCCGATTTCAGAGTCATATCTGAATCAGCTGATATCGATCCTTATGCAATCGATTCCTTGATTGGCACAATCTTGGAAGCCTTCGAATTCCCGCGTTCTTCTCCCAAATTTTGGTGTAAACACCATGGATCTAGATTCCACCCCTATCTATCAATATGGTGCACCCACAAGCGCAAGCCTATAGCCAAAAGAGTCTTCAAAGCCTATCCTAACACCTGGCTATGAACTGCGCTCATGTTTAATCAACATGGTTCAGGATAAACCCTTTTTGGGCGAAGATGATGAAAACCCTTATTCCCACCTAAATGAGTTTGAGTAGACCTGTGCATGCTTACACATTGCAGGCATGTTAGATGAAACCTTATGATGGAAGCTTTTTCCTTTCTCTTTGAGAAGAAAAGCTAAACGTTGGTACAATCTTACCATAGGGAGTAGACAATGAGATTGGGAAGCCCTATGTTATAGCTTTTGCTAGCAATTCTTTCCCATCTCTAGGGTAGTCAGATTTCGTTCAGAGGTTCTATCTTTTAAACAAAAGAAAAAAGAATCTCTAGGCATGGCATGGGAACGCTTTAGTACTCTTATTAATACTGGCCCTGACCTTGCCATTCAAGACCATATTCTTCTTCAACACTTCTATATGGGTCTTGATAGGAAAACCTTGAAGCTTCTTAATACGGCCTCAGAAGGCTCGTTCTTGCATGTCTCGGTCAATTCGGGGAGAAGCATTCTTACAAAAATCTTAGAGAACATCTCTGAGGAAGTAGAAGAGAAATCGTTAGAGGAAGAATCCTCCATAGCTAAACCCGAATCTTTACCAGATCCATCACAAACTTCAGCTATCCCAAATCTTGAATTACCAGAAAAGGAGGAAACTTCGATTTTGGATTTCATGATTGAATTTGAGGATGAACTTTTTGATGAATATTGAAATACCTCGAATTACCATACCATGAGAAGACCCTAGGAGTCTAGGAAATCATTGCATGAAGAACCTCTAGATCCTTCTAAGGAAGCTTTCCTTAAAAAGACTACGAAAGAGCTAGTGTTTATTATAAACAATGAATGGTTAGAAGAATCAAAGCTTTCCTCTGATACAATATGCTTAGATTCACTTTCTATATCCTTGTTTGTAATATAATGTTCCTATATTGCTTCTAGTGTATATGAAAACTTACATGATCTTTTGTTAAGTTCATATGATGTGTCTTCTAGTTATCAGCAACTCGACTTATTAGTACTGATAGCGATTCCATTAATAATCTCCATGAGAACATGCAAGTTCTTGACTTCTTGTTTAATTGAATGCACCATTACTTGTTCATAGATCTGAATGAGAGCTACTATGAACAAACACATGGGGTTTGTGTTCATGCCGATGTCAAAAATCCTAGTTATATTACTTGCAACTGTGTTCACTTGCATTACTTGTGTGCTGATGGTACAATAAAAGATAGCCATTTCTGTTGTGTTTAGTTATGTAAAATTTACAAAATGCCTATTTTTGTTCCTATAGGTGAAATAACAACCAGGTTACGTTCACGTGGCTTTCGAACTGACAATGAACGTGATCAATTTGATTCAGATGTGGCAATGGATGAAAATAATCAAATAAATGCTGCAACACATAACACTGAAGGTGTTTTGCTAATCTAAAACCTCCTTCTTTACACCATTGTTTAGTTCGCTGATTTAGCTAGGTACTGTTATGTTGATCTACATTTATTTCTTTATTTGACATAATAACAAGTGCTACATTTAGCATGTCACAACCTGTTATACTAATCTAAAATTTGATTCTTGACACTATAGAGTACAAACATTACATTTAATTACCCTAGTTTTTCCCTAAATTAACTAGGCCCTGCTAAGAGCGAAAGAAAACTTACAATTAACAATCAACTTCGCAAGAGAAGAGCAAAAGGAAAGCATATTGATATAAAGTTCCCTAAAGAATTTGCAAAGGTGTGTGGAGAACATGCTAGTTTATTTAAAAGTGAGATAACAGTTCTTGTAAGAACTGTACCACTCCAAGTGAAGAAGTGGAGGGACATGGATAAGTTTCATCCTGGTACTACTACATCTATTTGGAGAAAACTAAAGGTGACCTACTTTTCATATGAAATGAATATATTTGGCATGCATAGGTTATCATTGCATTTAGTGGCTGGTTATTACAATATATCTTTGTTGCACAGCAAAAGTTTCCTGAGCTTTCAGAAGAAGATAAAGATTGTGCCATGAGACAAGTAGAGAGTCAATATAATAATTGGCGCATCGTCTACTTCAAACTTACCGAAACAAGCCAAGGCCACAACATGTCTCACCAGAAGGTTGGCAATGGTTGATAAGGAATTTGTGGACGGATGATGATTTTCAGGTACATACAACTCATATCCTAAATTACAGTGTTGCATAATTGTTAATGATACATTTATGCAATTTGTAAACCAGAAAAGGAGCAACCAAAACTCTATCAATAGAGGAAAGCAAGAGATGGGGTCCAAAGTAGGAACTAGATCAATTGCTCAAATCGCTTATGATCTGGTGAGGAAAAAAGTTACCAGGCAGATTTGTTTCTCTTTTATCGCTCAATTAGTGAATATATGCTTTTGTTATTCCAATGCAAATGAGATCCGTAAACCGGTGAATGGCCTACTGCTATGCAAGTTTGGAGGGCTACATATCAGAAGGTTGATGGGACATGGTCCATTCCAACGGGTGAAGAAATAATGGTATGACCATATTACTTCCCTTTCTGATGGCATCTTTAGGTTTCACATTTGTCAATCTGTATCCTACCTTTTGAACTAGGATTAGGTGGAAGTGGTGTGTTTTTTGTATGGAAAAGTATGGTAGTAGAATTATGTATGCCTCTTTCATGGTTATTATCTCTGCAATGTAGTCTCTGTATTGTTCATTTAATGACTTGAAAAGTCTAGGCACTACGACATATTTGCAGTATCTCTAATCATGAATAATATTGTTTTATTAAGCTGTTTGTAAATTTCATATATTATTTAATTTGTCTGCAGTTTTCAATTATTAGATAACATGTTTGCATATTTTTTTAAACAGTAGCAACTCTAAGAACATTTGGATGTTACACTATCCTATAGTTAATTTGTGCTCATACCTATGATTCATTACATGAACGCTTTTGCCTACTGTGTAGTATATGGGTTCTTAATTAGTTTGTTTTTCATGCTTTGCAGACCAAACTACATGAAGGTGCTAGGATACATCAAGAAAAGATTTCTTCTACGCCCGTGCCAATAGTTGAGGCACTTCGCACTAGTTCTTGGTCGAAAGCCAAACATTCATGTGGTGTTGGCATTCATGCTGTAAACCGAGTGGTTGAGGAAAGAATCAAATTGCAGGAGCAAATTGAGGCTTCTGAACAGCGTGAAGCTGCAGCTCGAGCACGTGCAGATGCTGCTGAGCAACGAGCACGAGCTTTGGAAGGCCAAGTTTCCATGATGGTCAAAACAAATGCACAACTGCAAGAAGAGCAGCAATTCCAATGTGATGAGCTGAGTTCTTTGCGTGAAGCACAGAGTGGAGAAGTTGCTCGCCTAGTGAGAGAACAACTTGATCATCAAATGGCTGAATTAATTGCACGCATTGGTGTCAAGAGAGTTATTTTGAGGTTTGAGTGTTCTTAGTTTTATGTAACACTTGAATGCCAAATTTGAATTATTGAAATAAATATTATTGGCGCAGATTTGAAATAATCATATTGCTATAATGTACATTTGTTGAGCTATTTTTGTCACTACAGCAAGGATAATAATGATAACTTGGTCGCCACAACATCTAATGTGTTTCACACAATTGAAACTTATCTTGTGACAAAACTTGTCCCGACTAATATTTTCCTACAAATGCTATGCTTTTTTTGATGAAACTATTGATACATTTTGTCTTGTCAGTTCTCACAAAAAGATTTTTTGTGACAAAGGTTTGCCTCCGTAGTTTACATGTGAGGATGAGTTTGTGATGAGGACATGACACCCATGCATATGACCATCTTTTCCGCATGGTATGGAGGGGTAGGAGGCCAGCAAGGGTGTCCAAGTCAAGAAGGAGGCCCGATGCTAATTCGGTTTGAGTCCCCGAGGTGGAGGCCCAAAGCAACTCAAGTTCGAGTGAGGACATGACACCTATGCATATGACCATCTTTGCCATATGGTATGGAGGGGTAGGAGGCCAGCAAGGGTGTCCAAGTCAAGAAGGAGGCCGAGGCTAATTCGGTTTGAGTCCCCGAGGTGGAGGCCCAAAGCAACTCAAGTTCGAGTCTGCCTCGACCTTTAGGACTAGTCTGCCTTAAACTGGTCACCCAGGACGCATCCGGACTCCGTTTTCGACGATCCACATATGGATGGAAAGATAATTTGATAAGGAAGCCAATACAAGTAGTCTCACATCAAAAGCTGTTCGGAATCAATGGGAATCGTGGTCACAACTCAGCGTCCAGAATCTGCCAGGGTGCTGCGACACTGTCTTTTGGTCCGTTGGACCATGTATCGTGTTTGGGCCCATTAAGGGCACGTCCAGGGGTCTTGCACGACCCTAGAGTCTTCATAAACATCTGTCGCCCCTCCATTAGGGTTTGGGTTTGCTTAGATTATTCTGTCAAGAACAGTTTCGCCGTTCATCGGTTTGTGAGACCCCAACTTTGAGAGATTAATCATTCATCTGCAATTTGGTTGTGTTCTCTCTTGTTCTTGCTTGCGCAACGAAGAAGCCCATGGGGAAAAACTTTGCGAGGAACACCACAGAACATTTGTCCCACGTGTCGATAGCTTCCTTGCTCTGGTAAAACCATTGTTTCGCCTTTCCCGCAAGGGAGAAGGGAAATAGATGGAGCCTGATGCTAGCTGGTGCGACGTCTTTGATGACAATGGTGTCACACAACTCAAGGAAGTGTTGCAAGTAACCACTTGCGTCCTCACTTGGCAAACCATAGAATTGGTCTACCTGCACCATTGTAATCAGGCCAGTCCAGAGCTCAAAGTTTCCGGTGCCCTTGTTGACAGCAGGCTCAATAGGCACGTTGGCAAAAGCAGGGGTGTAGTCGCAGAGTGACTTGGCCATTTCAGTAGTAGCGGATGGTACAGGGGTGACTGGTTGACTTGCTAGTGGAGTGACGGAGGAAGAAGCGGTATGGGCCTTGTTCTTCCTTAGGAGCACCTCCGAGTTATCGATGTAGTTGTTCGGCAGGTCAAAACCACTCATACACTATCCTATTTTCATCCACAATAGGAAGAAAACAAGCAAAATTAGCCTACATAAACTATGGCTACCACTACACACATCTGATCATTGTTCATGTTATGCTAGATTCTTTTCAACCTATGCCCTCCCTGGCAATGGCGCCATAAATGCTTGTTGGCATTTCTTAGCGCAATCACCAAGTGAGGAGGTTTAAGTCCATCACCGGTAACGACGCTAGAAATGCCTGTTGGTATTTCTTAACACCATTACTAAGATTGAATTAATCTTAGCAATGCCACCAAGAAACACCAACTATGATAGTCCTTAAAGATTACAGACAATATCTGCGAGCGTACGGATCTATCGTTGTAGCATTTCACCCGGAAGTATTCAGGGTATCGTTATTTATATTTTCCCAAAGGAGGGCAAGGTATGCAGAGTCTAGCATAGACATAAACATGATTACATACCTGCATAGTGGACCATAGTTCATAACAGGGATAAAAAATGTATATCAAGGATAGTGGACACACATCTGAGCCAACCTCAAGGATAAAAGGAAAACAAAGTATAAAAGAATGTTCCTACATGGAGCTAGCATGTTCTAATATAGTCGTGCAAAGAACAGTTAATGATCATACAAGTTATATGATTAGAGTTAGAGCTAAGTTTAAGATGGACGGAGAGATCTCCGAGCACTGGTCTACCAGCAAGCGCGATAGACTTTAAAACTCCTATGCAATACCTGGACATAGGGGATTACAATGGACAGACAGGGCTATCACTACCTGCCACCTAGCCCTCAACCATGGGATACTATCATATCCGAAGGTTCTCGTGCACCCAAGCACCACGCCTGTGTACAAGGAAACTACCAATATCCCCCTGGGACTCCAACCCTACGGATTGACAAGCAAGAATATAGGCAACCCTGAACAAATGATGAACCACCACCTCAACCCTAGTTCTACTTCTACTCATTCAATTCATATGAAAGATTAAGCATAAAGTTAGACATGTTAAGATCATAACACACAAACTATATGCTAGTTCATATATCATGATTATAACATGAAAACTATACTCTAGTTCATATGCACTACTATATAATTGATATGAGAGCATGACTATGGAAGAACTCTTCATAGTATTATTCATACCAAAGTTGTTCTTCTTCCAAGGAGACAAGCTCTCCAAGTAGCTTTGCTAGCTCCAAATACTACTAAGAAATAAAGCTAAAAGAGTACAAGAGTAGGGTAGTGAGGTGTAGTTCCAAATGATGTGTGTTGAAGAATGAGCTCTAGCCCTCTTTATATAGTGGAGTGAGGACGGTTTGGCATTAGAAAATTAGGAAACCCTAGGGAACCGCCGTAGCTTGGCAACTTGCAACTGTCGTAGAAGAGTGGGGCCGAGCAGAGGCAGTGGGGGTACGGCCACACCCAGGGTGCGCCCGCACCCTAGTGGGCCCGCCTTATGACCGCCTTTGCCTGGTCAGTTCCTGGATGGGCCTAGACCCTGTCCACGGTGGTATTCTGCCCAGGTAAGTTGTGTAGTGGGCTTCTCTTCTTATTCTCCTTTGCGCATTTCTACTTTATGCGTACTGTTTGCGCCTTTTGGTATGTTTCCACTTGTATTCGAATATGTGACCTGCAAAACATGTTTTCCCAAATACAAGTGGAACTAGGTCAATAGTAAAGGCATATGTGTTAAAAGTATGTTTATTTCTCTTGTTTTGGACTATAATTGGTGGTTAGAAATGGTCGTTAGTGACCGCCAACAGCCGTTCACAGTGATGGTCCTGTGGGGACCCAAAAGTTTGAGTTGGAGGTAGGTATAGTAGGGGACGGACATGAACTTGGTGTAGCATGTGTAACACCCTAGGTGTTAGTCACGAGTTAAGCAGCGAATTTGGACTTAAGTAGGATATGTCAAGCAATGATCATGATTTCTAGTTCATACTCTTGAAAGTGGTGATGTAAGGTGTTGAGGTCAAATCTATGAAATTGAGTCCCAACTTGAACTTGGACAATACACCTTGCTTACATGTTGACCCTTTTCAAATGTAGGCTTCAATAATGTTGAAGGTGCCCCTTTTGATGTGACTCACATCTATTTCCATCTACATTGACTATTGAAAAAGTTTGATGAAGTTTGGAGCCAAGAGTCACATGAAATGATAAGTTATAACCTTTCTTGAATTGCTTCATCAGTTGAATGGGAATATGTGATGTCGACCAAACCTTGCTACCTTGTCCAAATGACTCTAATTCAACTCATGAACAAAAGTTATGAAGGGTTCATGTTGAGCAAATGTCAAGAAAATGCCTTAATCGGTCTAAAACTCCAATTTAGGGTTTATCGTGATGCTGCTGTGACCATGGTGAAATAACAGCTTCAGTATCAGTCCTGAGGTTTGACCTTAAATAAAAGTTGTATTTTAGTTTGTGTGCTACAAACTTTGTTTTCTACCAAGAGTCAAATATGCTTTGAAATAAGTCAAACAGAGGCTCAAAGATTGAATCTGCTGCTGTTTTCAGCCCTGGAAAACATCCCAAGTCTAAGATTACAATCGTATGGATGGTTGACGTCTCGCGTTCCCATGTTTTTGTTAAGAACCAAGGTATGACCCAAAAATGGAAGTTGGAGTTAACTCCATGGAGAAGAGCTCAGAGAAATTTGAACTGAGTTTGACTTCGTTTTGATCAACTTGAGTTTCCTTGGTCAGTCAAATATGTTGACAATGCTGTCTTAGGAGTTAATTACCCGTTAATCCATTTCTCTAATGACTCAGCGTCCTTAATGAAGTTTGTAGAGCAGCCCGAGTGGAGCAACTTTTCTTTAAGGCCCAAGGCCTAGATCGAACTGGAAACGGCCCAAATTAGACCCCAAGGAGGCCACAATGTCGCCCGCCACGTGCTCGGCGAAATGCCCTGTGGCGACCATGTAGGGCAGCACGCCCCCACCCTATATGCCGCGTGTAACACCCTAGTGTTAAGCATTGGGCACTTGCATTCATGAGCATGAACATCATTTGAGCATCCATGAGCATAAGGATATGAAGTGTTATGTCAATCACCTTACTTTTGTTACATGTGATGATAGCTATATTCATGTATATGCTTGCCATTGTGTGTGACCAATGCATGAAATGTTTGTGGGGCCATAGAAACACCTTAACATGTTTAGGATGGTACATGGAACAAGTTTGATATTCATGACATGGACTAAAACAGCCCCCAAGTCATAGTTATTCTAGAAACTCCAATTTTCAAGTTACTAGTTTGACCAAAGTTGAACTATGCTTTAGAGTGCTTGCATGGTAGTGCACCCTTAAGCAAAGTTGTAGTACTTGACTAGAGTAACAACTTTCATTTTTGGGCCAAGTCCTAATTCAATGTATAGTGTCGGTGCTTCGAGTTACCACCAACAAGTAAATTTCTAATATTGC